TACTGGTCCACTGTGCACTGAAGCTAGGTGTTACTGGTCCACTATGCACTGAAGCTAGGTGTTACTGGTCCACTGTGCACTGAAGCTAGGTGTTACTGGACCACTGTGTACTGATGCTATGTGTTAGTGGTTGACTGTGCACTGAAGTTAGGTGTTACTGGTCCACTGTGTACTGAAGCTAGGTGTTACTGGTCCACTGTGCACTGAAGCTAGGTGTTACTGGTTGACTGTGCACTGAAGCTAGGTGTTACTGGCTCACTGTGTACTGAAGCTAAGTGTTAGTGGTTGACTGTGCACTGAAGCTAGGTGTTACTGGTCCACTGTGTACTGAAGCTAGGTGTTACTGGTCCACTGTGCACTGAAGCTAGGTGTTACTGGCTCACTGTGTACTGAAGCTAAGTGTTACTGGTTGACTGTGCACTGAAGCTAGGTGTTACTGGTCCACTGTGCCCTGAAGCTAGGTGTTACTTGTTGACTGTGCACTGAAGCTGGGTGTTACTGGTTGTCTGTGCACTGAAGCTAGGTGCTACTGGCCCACTGTTTACTGAAGATAGGTGTTACTGGTTGACTGTGCACTGAAGCTAGGTGTTACTGGTTGACTGTGAACTGAAGCTAGGTGTTACTGGTCCACTGAAGTTAGGTGTTACTGGTCCACTGTTCACTGAAGCTGGGTGTTACTGGTCCACTGTGCACTGAAGCTAGGTGTTACTGGTCCACTGTGCACTGAAGCTATGTGTTACTGTGACAATACCTATTTATGTCACATTTGTTTTATAACGCTTGGCACTGCATTGTTACAGTAACATGTAACGTCGGCTCATGTAAAACAAATGGTTGTGAATAAAAGAACTTAACTATTCGATATTGTTGATATTGTTTCAGAGAAGTGATATTGATACAGGATAGTTTCTTTAGGGTCATAGGTTTCGATAGTTACCTGAAACATCATCCAGAATATTTGTATATATCTGATAACAGAACTCACACTACAGTAATAGTAAGAACAGTTGTTCCTGTCACTTTTGATCGCACAATGTTATCAACATCTTTGTCAATATTTGTCACAGTAAACAATTAAGAATACTACTACATTCAACAAAAGACATTATATTGAGTCCTGAATATTAAGTACAACATCAAGGAATATTCAATTATACACCAAAACAGATCTAAATCTTGATAAATCCTTTGGCAGCTGTCATAAGGCAGGCGCCAGAACAGAACACATGTAATATTTACGCTATTGTGTTCTTCTCAAACGTTTTTAAAAGATAGTCGCCACCCTTTTTAATGGGTCCTGCCCATTATATCATAGTGTATGTAAAAGACTTGATTGTCAATATCTGTCACAGTAAACAATTAGTAATACTACTACATTCAACAAAATACATTATATTGAGTACTTTTATATTTTTCTTCTTTTTCATAAACGGTAAACCACGTTTAATCCTGCACACCAGTTTAGCACAGTAAGTACAAGCGGTAAGACCGAACTGTTAAGGCTTGAACCACGCACACCATACTCTTTTCAATAAGTGCGGTGAGATCTTTAAGTGCTTGAGGGTAGGCTTGAGTAGGCTTTACGTCCTATTCAAGAGGACGTCACTAACAGAAGCTAGGTATTGATTTTCACCTAGGAAAATAGGTGTAAAGTGCTTATCACAAGGACACAATAGTGGGGCCTGCCAGGGATTCGAACCCAGAACTTTCAGATTCTGAGTCAACCGCTCTAATCCACAAAGCCACCATGCGTAGATAATAGCCGAATTACTTTTACTTCAAAGAGATCCTATTTAAATGTGCTGTGTGTACATCATTTATTACACATCAAGGGATTATGTATACTAATTTCCTCAAAAAATCTGTTTGAAAAGACCTTTGAAAACAGACCTTTGGTTTGGAGCTTTCTAGTGCCTGATTGAGGTTAACAATGTTTCAAGGAAGAAAACTGTTAAACCTAATTAGGGAAGATGGTGGTCTCAGTCAGGATGGCTGTTCTTGATTTGATGATCAAAATGTAATCTCAGACACAGTGACACGTGTAGAATAAAAAAAATATTCTCTTGTATAAATTCCTCTGTTGAAACTTTTGTCATTTAAAGTTAATTCAGGGTCTGCAGACAACCATAATCTCTATTATACTCAACAGTGTCATAAGAATTTGAATTTTACATTTCACAAAAGCATTAATTGGTTTTAAAACCTGGCAGTTTTCCACAGATATTATTTGTGTTTTTAACTTAATAGTTATACTTTCCAATACTTTCGGTCATTCATTTGTGTAGAGTGTAGTTTCTTATTTAACAAAGCAATGGTAGATGCAGGCACGTGAACACACCGCACATGCACACACACACATACACGTGCGCGCACACACACACGCACACACACACACACACACACACACACACGCACACAAACACATACACACACACACACGTACTCACACACACGCACGCACACACACACACACACACACACACACACACACACACACACACACACACACACACACACACGCACACACACGCACACACACACAAACATCCAAGACATGCACACGTGCGTACATACACACAAACACATCGACATTTGCCTACTGACATTGGCATTCACCTTACCGCAAAATAGATTGAGAAAACTGTTGAAGAACCAAGAACACATTCATCGCACGGTCTTCAGGCGCCGGCAGTCCCAATAGGTTTTTCATGTCCTACATCTATCATCCCTGGCATGTACAATGCCAATGTGCTGTACTGTCACACTAGACCCATGACCCCATTATAAAACTGACGGCTATTCAATAAAGCCTATACATTTTTACTTATAGACTGTCAGGCTCTCCTCCTATCTCCTTTGTTGCAATTGGATGCATCTCCTTCAATGTACGCTTCTTCATCGACTTATGTTACAACATTCGCCCAGCGATCGTTCCTTTGGAACTACCCATAGATTTTGTTACCCAGCGTTACATAGTGTAATCTATCATAGTTGTCCCTTGTATGAACCCTTAGTTTAGTTATATATGCGTTAAAACTTTATCACAAACTACGTTCCAGTATCTTGAATATCTAGCGATTTGGAAAATATTAATCTGTGTAAATATGGTTTAATTCTATACATCATTTGGCACAAGAAGCACATCAAAATAATTCATGTCAACCTTCATAGCATTAACCTATACTACTACTGCCTGGAATTCATAGTGAATCTTGCAAAAATACTTTTCTGTATCTGACTCAGTTCTTTGTTGAAAATAATTATTGTTTTTATAATTTCACTAATATGCAGTGCACAAAAACGTGATTTATCCGCTAGATACAGCGTTAGTTCCTATTTCAAACATGGGTCTTTTATTTATTTATTTATTAATATGTAGTCTTTGATATGTAGTTATTGATCTTGATATGTATATTTCTATATTCATGTATCATTTATACTCAATCGGCGTTACGTGACTTTCATTTTGATCGCAATTTTGTCACAAAAGTCACAAAACTATATATACACATGTATGTACAAAATTCTGTAGTTGACCAATACCATCCACTGGTCAACAGCAGCTGACCATTTACTATGGTCACTCATTTTCAGTTTTCACTCTGGTATGGCCTAAATGTTAGCTTTACGCTTACCTGTATACTTTTTATGCAGTTGTTTTTGCATTTTACTGTGTGCCTAATTATAATAAACTTTTTTTATATCCATTTCAAAATCGTAAAATTCTATCTCATCTGCGAAAAAGTTTGATAAATCTGAGTAGAATGTTTATACATTCAAATATGATAAACATACTATCATATTTACAGTCCAAAATGAAAAATGTCTAATTCATAAAACTCATGCAATATCACTGGAATAATAAATTTTATATATAATGTTGTTATGATAGGTTTATTTCTTTACATTCACGTCAACAAGATATCGACAATTGTTATATCGTATCTTTAGTAAGGTGATGTGTTTTATATTGAATGCCCTTTCAATTCTGGATTGAAAAAAAATACTACCTAGCATGGTTTGGGAAATGTTTACTCCTGATTATAATTTAGAATTAGACTATTTACAAAACTATTACTCAATACCACAACGCGTGTGCATGGCAGCTGAACTATCGTACCTTCGCCAGAAGGTTATGTTTTCGGTTTGGCTATTGCAGATCACTGTGGATGTAGGAGGCATAGCTCTTGAGCCATGAATGGATATTCATCGCTTTTGGTAGGCAAGCTGCTGTTTGGGCGAAAAATGTCAAGTTAAAAGATAACCGGTGTCAGTTGTGAATAAACTTATCGAAGAGGGGGAAACTATTGGCCTGGAAGGGGAGAATATCTGAAGTTCGGGCTAAATGAGAGACATTTACACTTTATTTTATACATATTTATCATTTGGCGAAGGCATGAGGTCGTATACCTCTGATTTCGGTATTGAACTCATGCATTACACTTGTTTTAATTCCGTGCCATGCTCTGCCCTTTTTAAGTATTCCACGCGACATTTCTGAGATAATATTCGGTGCCATGGAGTAGTCAAGATAAAAGGCTGCAGCACTGACCCTCTTCGATTGCGGGTCTTGTAGTCTCAACTGCAATTTAAAATGCTTTCAGATCTTAGAAACTTACTACCTCCGGCAAAATACGTGTTTTACGTGGTGAGTCTGAAACAACTACAGCATTGAGATAAGTTGCCTTGCTGACATTTGACACACTATGAAGCTCACCATGTCATGTCTTTATCAGACCGAGTGTATGCCCGATGGCACTATCCGAAAAGTAATTTCATCAGCTGCAGGTTGGTAGAACATAGAATATTGGGTTTTTCTTGTACACAACCAGTTGTAATTTTCTCACCTTGCATACGTTGAACAGATATGAGGGGGATACAAACTTAGTCACACTTGGGATTGTGTTCCCGCCACAAAAGCGCCACCTACTTTGGCTATATACAGCGGCATGAGAGAAGTAGTATTTCAGTTATAAATTCTGAGGAAGGTGTCTGAAAGACATGGAACGTAAGCAAGGTGAGAGAAGTACTGGTGGTGTGTAAGAAAAATATACCATGCCTACACATGCGCAGAGACGGTCTCGACGGTTCGAATGCGCAGCTGCAGGTCGTGGCGGCCATTGTCAGCCTCGTTCTGGTTGGGTGGCACCCCGGGCTCAACGCGGTTGCGCCGTAGGCATCTCAGCTTCAGGACGTCCCAGAATCCCTTGCGGAAGTTCTCGCTGAAGCCGTTGTAGATGATGGGGTTACAGGCGGAGTTGGCGTAGCCGAGCAACAGCACCGAGTAGCGCAGGTCCGGGAACCAGAAGGGACGCTGGAGAATACAATGGAAACCATACAGTTATCAGATTGGTCAAATATTAGTTTTCATAAATGAAGAACGATTTTATGTTTACCGTGTGACAGGCTGAATAAAAGATCCAAACAGGAACTATGCGTCTCCAGATGTCTTAGTGAGGGACGACTGCGTGTGCAAGATGTCAATTAGCTGAGGAATGAATCCCCTCGAATTCACATTACCGAAGGAATATTGTTTTTTCTCAGTTTCTTCTTCTTCCTCTTCTTCTTCTCCAAACAGTGACCTCCGACCTGACCAATGGCATGATTTGTTGACGTCTATCACCATGGTGACTGGTGTTGGGGTACATAATGTTGCAATTTCAGGGTCTGCTCTGCTCCTGTCCTCATATGCTAGTAGTACATGTGAATGTGTTGGAGTAAGAATTAACAGAGAAGACCATATCCGAAGGTAAACATTATGCATTTGCTTTGCAAATGTTACTTCTCTAGTTTAAACTTTTTTTTATGTCTATAACTGTGACCTCCGACGGAGTATTTGTGTCCGTATGCAGTATAAATTCGAGGGGATTCAATCCTCAGCTAAACGAGATCTTGCACATTTGTGTCCGTGTGTTCGCAGTTGTAATTCACAATCCCTTTGCTGCATTGGTATGTAGTTTGGTATGTTGTCTGCTATTATATGTGTTAGAGAATGAACATTATTGTTTTATACCATAGCAGTTTTTATAGGTCATGTCATATTTCAGAAAACACCCCTAATGAAAATGAACCATACAATACTTTGTGTGCTTAGTCAACCTTCATAACCTGATTATATATATATTTTTTAAATTATATTCCAAACTTGTTTTTATTTGCACGTTTGCATCAGTTTTTGGGGCCCCAGAGGATGCCATTCCTATAATCAAATCTGGCGTCAGTTCTGGCGTAGGTACTGCCAGCTGGTATGCAGACCTTAAATAGGCCCCGTTTCTTTTATCCCAGACACCGTATTTTTAAATTTATGTATTTTGTGTTGTCAACGTTGTATATGGGCTTTGCCTGAGTCAAACAATAAATAAATAAATAAATAAATAAATAAATAAATAAATAAATAAATAAATAAATCAACATTTCATAGTTATAGAGTTATAGAGTTTGAACATCACGGTTTAGGTCTAGATACGGAGCAGGACTACTTTGTGAGAGGCGCGGAGGAGGCAGTTTACATCAGGGCTCATCAACACTGTCTGAACCGTGATGGTGGGAGATTCCGTCTTCCGCCACCTTTGATGCACTCCTGACGTCATCACGCTTCCGACTTCCGGAAAGTGATCAGCGATTGCATCACGCATCTGATGAAGGTTGACGGGATCAGCCGAACATTTATGGTGAATCTCTTCATTGTGTTGGAACAAGTTCGAACTCTATTATCATGGATTCTACCAACACAGATGAGCTTTCTTTCGAAATCAACATTTTCATAGCCTGAGAGAGCTTGTATCCACTAGTAGATTACATCCAAGGACCTTACAATCTAAATAGTCCTTTGAAATTGATAGCATATCGTATTCTATTTCGCACATACTCTTTGAACTGGCGGACTGGCTGCAGCATCAAACAGAAATATGATTTACGATGATGGGTTCAAGCTGTCTTAGAGGAAATGAAAACCACGCCCGCTTCGGGTTAGGAGATCTAGTGGAATTTAGGAAGAACCGATCGAAGTGGGTATTATGGTGATGATTGCGCTTGCTTCATCTTACTTGTCACGAGGCTATGTTGGTTTGATCACATGGATGACATCCTCGGAACCCCCTAAACTGCTTTGAGCGTGCGAATAAAAAAAAAACGCAAAAAAGTTGCTTTCATTATTACTTTTAGCCGTTACGTTCAATCACTGATTTTTTGACATTTCACTTTGCAGCCCAGATTTGACCACCGTACTAGTTCTGTTCATCCAGTTTATCTATTTATTTACTTTATTTGTTTCGAGAAGAAGAAGAAGAGAAAGGCACAACATCATTTTTCATTCTGCGAAGGTAACAAATAAAGATTTAAGCCATCACAATGACCGAGTCTCGGTCGGAGTTACCTTGGAGTCGTCAGTGAACTCGATGTAGAGCTGGAGGATCTGGTACGGAGTCCAGCAGATGAAGAAGGCCAACACCACCACCACCATCATCCGGATCACCTGCAGACAACATAAATTTGACAATGTTGTTTATTTGCATAGAATACGCAAAACAAATTACGAATACATGTATGAAAACGTGGGGTCGTGTGGCGTAGCGGCAGAGTGCTCGACTCGGAACCAAGAGGTCCCGGGTTCGAGTCCTGACATGCCACCGATCGCGTGCCCTTGGGAAAGGCACTTTACACGACTTTCCTCACTTCGCTCAGGTGAAAATGAGTATTGCATTGTTCCCTGTGTTGGTGGCGGCATCAATGTAGGTTGATATAACTTGAGTGTGCTGTCACCACGTCTTCTGATAACATGTTGGAATATAAAAAAAGAAAACAGAGTTCCACGATCTCCTTTCTCCGTAATAATATGCAAATAAGGCCCTCATTTACATAATAAATACCTACCGATGTCCCTCTCGTTCTCAATTACATATGTACATATGACACAAGTTTGAATATCCCTATTTTGGAACGCAGGAGATGAATAAAATTTTCTAATTAATTCAGCAAACTAGATCCTGATTTGTATAATTAATTATGCTAAGTATCCTAGGCAAATCGGATTTCGTTATGTACCTTTTATTGTATGCAGTTGTATTTGGCAGTATTTAACAGTGGATGTAGTCATTCTAATTTTAGTAATAAAATAATGAAACTTTTATTGCATGTTCATTCCCGGGGGGATAAATGCACGGATGTACAACGTACAATGTACTAGAAAGTACTACAACAGTAGTAATAAAGACTAACATCAGGTCTAAGGTATACAATGCTAAAAAAAGAAATATATATATAAAGTGGTATAGATCTAAGTTCTAATGGCTTCTTCTCTCTTTTTGAAACATTTTGAAATATACTTACATACTTCATTGATGACGTCTATATTTGTACATTATATGATGTATTTAAAAGTGTCTTCCTTTGATAATGTTTTACATTTTTTGTCGAGCTTAATTGAACTGAACAGTGATTCACGTTCGTTATCATATACAGTCAAGCATAAAATGCGATTCATCTTCAATATAAGAATTATTACAGAATTTGCAAAGTCTATCTTGTAATGGTGTGCGTTACAAGATAGTAGCGTCATCCATCACATTAAAGCAAAATGATAGCTAGTTTTGAGGACAAGGCTAGTGACTAAAGAGAACATTTTTCATGGTAACTACACAAGGCTACTACACAGCAAGCCAATCCTTAATGTATTACATGTATAACGTTCTTTCTAAATTCTGTTTGATAGACTTTCTGTCTCTTCCTAAGTTCCAACTCCCGCTGCTCCGACATTTAGACTAGCGGAAACCGACGTAAAAAAAAACTAATCTCTGTAAGACGACTGCAATATTTCCTACTGCCGGAGATTGCTGCCGTCTTATATACTTCCTGTAACTCCTGCTGCGTTCTCTGTGAAACACGATAAAACCACAAAAACAAGCCCCTGCTTTCCATAGGATTAACCATACGAGAGCATTACTGTGTAATGTTTTAAACCATATAGAAGCAACCCGGCGCGTTGCTCTCAAATATTCTTCTAGATAAAGTTCTTGCTTCAACACGATACATTCTGCTTCACTGTTTTATAACCCGCGTCGTATATTTTACTGTAATTTTTCAATGTATTGTTGTTGTTGTCAATTGAGAATTCACCAATTTGAACGGAAAGGAAATGGCCACAAAATCTACAAGTTAGTGAACAGAGTAAATCTGTTTCAAATCCCTGTGTCCACTGAAGTTTTTGGCAGTACCGTAAAACACATTTTTCAAAGAGCAAGGTACATGTACATGTATTACATTGAAGCCTTGTGATATAAAACATTTTCCATTTTTATTAATGTTTGGTCTTAAAACTCCGTTAGACATCCAGATAATGATATAAATAAGAAAGTGTTACTCAAGCAACTGGATACGTTTTGTGAATCTGCAACAGCCCTGAGTCAGCTTACAAATGTGCCCTATGTGGCAGAGACTGTCGTTCTTGTATCTTGTACTTTTCAGCCACAGCCGAAGCTATAGAGCTGACATCTATTAGGATTTTACCATGGACAATACTGACTGAAGGATGCCATATATATTGGTTAGTGGCTTAGCCTATGGTCTAACGTATTTCATCTTTCAATTGTTATTCATTTCTAAAATAGATATATACTATACATGTATTAAAGCTACAATTCACTCTATATCTTTCAAGAACATACACATCCACATATCAGTTACGTTCTTCATAAACTTGACGAATGCTTTCGTTGTCCCCGTAAATGGGAAAACGGGAACCACAAACCCGCTCCTGGCCTGGGCAGATAATCAGAGTCCGTATTCGAAAACCGGACCTGTTAACACCTTGGGGGCCATTCGGTAAATTGAAACAAGAAGGTTGGACTCCTTCTAAACCCCTAGATTGAAACCGTGTCTGCCTGTTTATGGGCACTATTCACAGGACTGGACTAAGGACAGGACTGTTTGTGGACACTATTCATCACTAAGGGCAGGCCTGTCTGTGGACACTATTCAGCACTAAGGACAGGCCTGTTTGTGGACACTATTCAGCACTAAGGACAGGCCTGTTTCTGGACACTATTTATCACGAAGGACAGGCCTGTTTGTGAACACTATTCATCACTAAGGACAGGACTGTTTCTGGACACTATTTATCACGAAGGACAGGCCTGTTTGTGGACACTATTCATCACTAAGGACAGGCCTGTTTGTGGAAACTTTTCAGCACTAAGAACAGGCCTGTTTGTGGACACTATCCATCACTAAGGACAGGCCTGTTTGTGGACACTATTCAGCACTAAGGACAGGCCTGTTTATGGACACTATTCATCACTAAGGACAGACCTGTTTGTAGACACTATTTAGCACTAAGGACAGGCCTCTTTGTGGACACTAACTCAACAGTAACCATGATTTAGTGTACTGACCTTTCGCTTGGTCTTTGCCTGGGCAGATTCGGTGGCAACGATGGTGACTCCGGGGGTCTTCTTGTTCCACAGGGTCTTAGCGATCATGGCGTAGGCTCCGGAGATGATGAGGAGAGGCAGGGTGTATATGACCACGAAGAGGAAGATGGTGTACACTGCGCGCTGCCGCTCATAGTCAGGCCAGCTCTCTCGGCACCACACCTAATAGTCAGAGAACATTACCTATCTGTGACCATTTTGAATTATAACATTAGCCTCTACCAGGTTTCGCAAGCGGTTGGAAGAGTAAAAATTCGAATGTTCTGAATGTGTGACAGGAACTTAAAATGCAACTGAAACCTGACAATGTTGGTAACGGACATTGAAACATCGAAAATATAGCTACAGTAAAATAGCTTTAAATTCAATCTAATCCCATGTAAACATTGGACTCTCAAAATGCACGTTTTAGGCAAGCTGTGCCGGCTCCGGAATTACCATGAGTAAGCTAGCCAAATACTACTACTTTTCTTAAATATAGTCTGTAGATGTTCGTCTTGGGCTTCAGTTGCAATGGACCTGCTGTGTCAACAAAACTAGACGCAGCAATAATCAAACATATCTGACTTTGAAAACTTTGAAATAATCTTTATTCTTGAACTGACCGTTCTAGAATGTTCTTCAGAACAGGTAAACAAACTGTGACGTAATAATGTGATAGGTCCATTAAAGTGACATGACCAACCTCACGATGGCCGTCGTCCCAGGTAATTTCCATCTGCTCCAGGACCACCAAGAGTGGGATGTGGGTTGCGATGGAGGCTGTCCAGATCAGGGCCACCACCACCACGGCGTTGGTGTCGGTTACCCGGGCCTTCAGCGGGAAGATGATGGCGAAGAAGCGGTCCATCGCGATCACCACCATCGTCAGGATGCTGGACACAACCGACACACCTGTTGGGGAAAAGGGATTTAGATATAGGTAGGTTCAGCTCATACGAGGTGACACAAACCAGACACCACTGAAACCATAGGTAAAGGAATGTGGTCTTGATCCAGTTACAGCTCAGTGAAGAGCTATTTTCCCACAGGTCGTGGCAGAGAAGACGCCATGTACAGCATTTACAAGTTTATTGTACCGGGGGAAATTCCCCTAACTCTTTTCGATAAGTACAACTGCAGCTTAACGTCCCGTTCCAGTATGAATTGGTTTTTAATTCAGTTCACAGTCGAACTGTGACAAACTCGTACTAAATGTGTATCTCGTACTAAATGTTTTCCACCAACAGGCCTGTCCTTGGTGATGAATAATGTTCAAAACAGGCTACGCCTGTACTCTGCAAGTTTTGTCTCATAGTCTTCTTGAAGCTGTGGCGGCAGCTGGTTGTTATCCCAGCACTTTCTGGAAGCTTTACACTAAGCTAGCTTATGGGTGGGATATAGGTGTGTATTTTCTAAGTATTATACATGGTTTGTATGATACGAGCTACAAGCCCGCAGTATATAAATGCTCGGCATTGTTGTTGTGTGCCGCAAAAGTATAACGGAATGGATTATAGATTTCTACCAACTTAACGCCGACATCATAATAATATGCTCCTGTCACACATAGCCTAGCCGAATATATCCCCCCGAACACTATAGCCGAACTCCTGCCAACCATCGTTAGGATTAGGTCGGGAGCAAGCCTGACTGTGGACGGATGGTGTTTGGCCAGGTTAGCTACTGTTCAGCTGCATCAGCCGAATGTTTCAAAATGTTTAAAACATTTTGGTGTTGACGGGAGGTTCGGCCATGGTTAGCTGGTGGTTGGCTGGCGTAGATGGTAGTAGGTCGGAGCGCGCTGAAATATGACTCAAATTGAACTCAAATTCGGTTCGATTCGTATAGAAAGGTAGGTATGGTCTAAATCTGGTAAGAACCCGCCCGAACTTCAGCCAACCTTGGTCGGCTGTTTGTTGTGGGAACGTCCTGAATGAGTGACGGGAGCTTTACTTGCTAAAGCTCTTGTAGGTCTCTAGCGAACTACCTGGCATTTTCGGAACGCGAGTGAGTGGAAGACGAATTCTCTTACTAATGGATTATAAGTGTGTAACCTTGTCTTAATGCCTAACGCGAGACTAACGCAACCTTTTTACATGTTACCATATGGGAGTTAGAAGAAACACATCCTCTCTATATTCCATTATGTTTTTATCGCATGGTAACGAGACGGTAATAACCATTTTATTGGTACAAATTAGCTCTAGATGAGCAGCTAATTTTGGGGATTGGAAGAAATATCCCTGAACGTCATTAACGTGTAAGATACGCGTACCACAAATTTGTAACACACCGTGGCATACACATTGTATCAATCACTGATTTCGTTCCTCGTATACCAAATTTATGGCACCCAACCGAGGGTATGGTTTCTGTAGCGTAATTAATCTTTGCGTGAGTGCGGCGTATACTGAGAGCAAAAGGCCACACGCAGCGTTTAGAAAATGATACATCAGTCCTCATCATGTTGTTTATGAGTAGCCTGCTGACTTTTAACTATCGCTCCGGGTAACAATATGCCTCGTGTCGGTTGAAATATCAATGACAACAGCAGCTAAGGCGGCCTACTGCGCGTTCTAATGAGTTTACCACCGTGGTTCTTTAGAACATACGTCACGCCACTGGCATCAAAGGTGTCGCCTCCGATATTCTTCAGGTTTCTCTAAGCCCTAATCACAACCCAGTTAGTATCCGTAATTGCAAATTACACTCAAGGGACTGCAGTAACTGAAGAAAAATAATTGAGACGAATGAATAAAAGTCAAGAAAAGAAAGCTTTCCCAAAGCTTGTGATTGATGGAAGAGTTGGGTACAGAAAACATTAGGTAAATGATTTAGTACCATTGGTAATTGGAGCCCAGACTACATCCACGAGTATTCATAAATTCACTTTCTACTACAAGTTACATTTATGAAAGCTGTAACTGGAATGAGTTAGATGCCCATGATACATTATAGCGTAAGCCCCTGTCACACATTCAGAACCTTCCCCAGAACACCAGCCGAACAAGGTTGGCTGAAATTCGGGAGCAGTCCGACCGTATATAGACCACGCCTGCCTTTCTCTACAAATCTACCCGAATTTGAGTTAAATTTGAGTCAAATTTCACTGCCAGCCACGCACGCCGGACCTTATCCCAAACGCAGTCTCCCTTCCACACTAGAATGTTTTAAACATTTTTAAATATTCGACTAGCGCAGCCGAACAGTAGCCGACCTGGCTTCCGACCTACTAGCGTCCACCAGGCAGGCCTTTCTACGGGAATACGAATCGTAAAATTCGGCAAGAAAGATAATAAAATTGGCAAAGAGAGTCCGGCCGCGGGGAGTTAGTTTCTTTCCCTCCGAAGACCAGTCAAACCTACAAGGCAGCCAAACTCCCCTGGCAAATATTCTCCTATATAGCCAGCGTAGTTAGTCTGGTAGCTAGAGGCTACCGACCTACCCCTAACCATATACCATTGACCATATATGTAGCATTATGACTCATACCAACTAGTAACTTTATTTTTTGCCATACATTGTACACGTGACAATCCTTGTGCAATAACGTTTGACTTGACTATGGTTGGGGAGAGTTCGACCGGTCTTCGGCAGGCCATGTTCGGCTATGTGCGTGACACAGGTTTTACGCCACTTTAGCTAGCTCTGGGGTTTGACGCGATGTGACGCACTTGCAATAACAACATGAGACAGTCTGTCTGGCATCTTCTTTCACTCTTTGTTTAAAAAAAACCCAGCCCTTCTCGAACTTTCTCTACTTTGGCTGTCTGTCAACTAGCAACAGCAGTTGAAAATCCAGCCACCGGGCCATGACGTTAAACGACGTAAAACAAAGTTGATGGTCCTTAGATTGCGTTCCAGTCAGACATATTGGCTTACTAATAGATTTTGAAAGCAGCTCTTGGGCTATAAGATAAGTCTCTTTTAAGGACTGTTTTCTTGTTAACGACCCAAAGAACACGTGTAGATTGTGAAGTCGATAGCTTTGGTGGAATAATGGGGTATTTTGAGATGTCAAAGACCCCAATGAGTTCCAATTCTCGGTAAGTTCGTATTAAATCGACCCGCGTCGGTGTCCGGTAGTGTGGACAATGGATAAAGTATACGTGTAGTCAGCTTTGGAGGCAATGTCGGAAACATAGATCTGTATAGTAAACCTGCTCGCCAAACGGAATCGAACGCTTTGCTAAAATCTACGAAACATGCATAAATTTTAGCATTCTTGCTGACTAGAGACTGACAAGTGTTTGATGACTAGAGTAGTTAATACAAATATCGGACGTTCTGTAATTTTTTTAAAAACAGGCCTGTTGAGATTGGAAAAGGCTGTTCTGTTCTCCGTATTAATAATTTTCCCAAACAACTGATGATGGAAATTCCCCAGTAATCATCAGGTATCGTCAGATTTATTTGTTTTCATATCGCTGCTAGTCGACCTATTTTGTTTTAGGTTTGAGATGGCTGTGTTTGATTCCCTAGCTGTTATTTAAGAATCTAGAGCAGAGTTCTCTGCAGGTGTTTGGATGTACGAAGCCAAAGGATACTCGATTTTACATTAGATTGTCGCAGCAGGCAACCGTGCACCCCCGCTGTCTTGCTGATAACGTTTCGGTAACCTATTTATCTGAGACCGCATTTGCTGAAAGTGATGGATTTAAGTGGTTTGTTTTTCTGGTGGAGCTGAGGAGCTTAAAGCTTTCAGACCCATGGCCACGCTACTGCATGTGGAGGGGTTGTTACTACCTACATATCTGCATTTTATTCAACGTTTCTCCTGCGCGATCGTCAAACATCTTCAGACACGCGACTCAAAGCAAATGGGCTTAATGTGTACGACGTACTACGACTATACTAAAAGCCACTTCACAATCCTGAAGTTATAAAAATCATAAAAGCCATCTCACAATATTGAAGAGTAAAAACAACTTGAGAACGAAGTGATTAAAAAAAAACATTCTCAATACAGCCTAGATAAAGTTTTGACGGTTTGTTTTCAAAGAATGCTCAATCATTCAGAACGGTGGGTGTAGGATAATCTCCAAACAGATCGTACGGTGGCAAGACAGTATCCATTGGCCAGAGGAGTGTCCATTAGCCACATTTAGTGTAGGATCTGATTGGAGATTAGGTGTAATACAGGACGAAACTCGGGTTAGCAATAGATTACCCTGACTGTTCCAAAAATAAAAGGTATTGTTGTACCCCAAGGGGAAATGATATGTCACCAGCCATGTTGCAAAACTCCTTTCTCAGCACTCGGTTACAGGGCTGAGGCACTCTCAGCACTGAAAATAGCTGACATCAGCACTGGAAACCGAGAGCTCGGGTGGCATTAAGCACTGGAAAACGAGTGCTGATGAATTTTTTTTAATAATAATAATGATAAATGGTTTGTCCAAACAGTACCCATGCAGATGCAGGTTATCACATATAATAATCAATACAAATCACAACAAGAAGCCATAGGCGACAATTCTCCGTGAAGTTTTATATTTTGCAACAAAAATAATCTTTTTTTTTATTCAACAAATAGGACAAAGACAAAGTGGCGCTGCACTCAAGTAAACAGTACTTATATTAACAGCGCCACTTAAACAAACAACATCATATTAACAATGTTTGTCAACAAAAAACAATTGGAAACAAACGATGTGCACCAACACCAACACCACCTCCCCCCAAACACTAGAAACAAGTGAGTATCTGTATGAAACGAGACGAGTGACTTCTATATCATTTCCACTGACAAACTCAGTCCAAAAGAGCTAGAAGCGCTGAGTCTCATAAATATATGTTTGTGTAAGTAACATGATTTTTAGTTATAATCAGCAGATAATAAAGATGACCCTCGAAGAACAAGGTGAAGTTTTGCCGTGTCAGATAAAGAATTAAAATCCAACAGGTGACCG